GTAGCAGCTGTATCACAGCAGTAGGACTCTGTGTGGCATCCCACGATGGATCAACACCAGAATATGTTATGTGGGACCTTGCATATGACACTGCACTGAAATATAGATGAGCCAGGTTTAAAGACGACCTTGAGCAGCATAGGTGTCGGTTGCTACTGGGCTTACTGTGAATTTCATGACGACCGGTGTTGCTTCGTAGTCATTATGATTCTGATTCTGTCAGAAAACACTTATTTTCTCACCGTTGTTGCTCTTCTGCTGAGCTGTGCCGGCCTTTAACACAAAAAAATGTAACACCAGCACAAGCCGGTTTCATCTGTGCCATTGTTTTAACATATTGCTTTGTTTCACCCACTTCCTTGTTCATTGGCTCATTTGTGGTCAACCCAAATGTACCAGAAAATCTGTGGGCTTTCTCAAACACTTTCAGATTTAGGAAAATTCCATCCGAGCTTGGTTTGCTTTTCCAAGAATCTTTGGTTGGAAAAAAATCTAACAAGAATATTGAAAGCGTGTAATTATCTTGCTGCTTTTGACCAGGAAACATCAAACAGGTGTCAATGGGGAAGCTAAAATTACATATCTGAGGACGTGACTTCACACAATCACGGTGAGCATGTGGATGTGCATGTGATGGCAAGAAAAGACTATTTTAGAAGCATTCAAAGCAAAGACTGCAGGTTTCATGACGCCAAAGCATGATAATGGTACCGATGGAGCACATGAAAGCATGGAGTCCAAGAGATGAGGCGAAAAAAGCGTGAAAACTGTGGGTTTGAACTTAAAACAAACAAACATCTAAATCCTTTTTCCCTCCCTGTTACATCACCCTAACATTATTATATCTGCAAAGCAAGGATGGCGCACAGTTAGCTGCCCGATACTGAAATATTTGGAAAAAATTACATCAGTTGTACCGAGTACTACATATTTTTCCACAGAGTGCATTTAAGCAATGAAAAGACACAGTGCATCAGAAAGAAGCCAGAAATGTGTTCAGCTTGTTAGTGTGAGTCTAAAGAGCAGGCTTTCACTGCTTAATCCTCATGAGGAAGACGTCTAATATAAAGAGTCATTTGTCCCGCTTACAGGACTATTTTTTTAAAGCTGTGCAGATTTTGATTTTAAGCACTGATTGGATATAAATCAACGTCTCTATCGATTAATCTTGTCGTGATAATTTCAGGTAACCACGCCCGTTTTGATGTTTGATGTAGTGCGTCGTTCCTGCTCTGGATTCAGATCGTTCGCCTGAGACTACAAAACGCCCGCTGATATCACTGTTAATGTCTGCTACTACAAAGTCACGCCTCGCAGCTGCTGGATCGCGGGAAACGTCTTAAACTGGAAATACACAAAAAGGCTTTTAGCGCAAATACGACTGCGGTTAGCGTGCTCCACAAAATGTAAACGCAAACAGAAAAAAAGAAGAACTTTACTGCGGTTTGATGATGTGTCAAAAACAACCAGGTCCATATGTAGCACAAAGTCCGATTTCAACTGCAGCTATTTTTAATTGAGGCATTAAACGGCAAATGTCTCTGGCTGTGAGTGTTTGATGGTGTATAATACTGTAGATCTGTACACAAGCTGACTGGTTTTCTTTAACAGTTAAAATAAAATTGAAATTAAAAGCAAAATAAAGCAAAATAAAACACATTTCTCGTGTAAAAACTTGAGAAAAAACTTTTGGCTTTTTGGAGGATTGTGCTGGATCCAGACATTTACCAGCTAAAATAATCTTCTGCTGGGCAGGTATCCAGTTTTTAATTAAACACTCTTTTTGTTTCCTTTAATGTGGAAAAAGAGCATCGCTCTCCCAGCAGCGATCAGACTTCGGTTCACCTTTCGCTAACTTAGCATCCTCATTAGGTTGACAGAGTTTATTTATGCCTGCTTACACAGGCAGAGGCTGCATGAGAGAAATAAAAACATCCTGTTGCATGTATTGTTCTCACTAAGTGATCATTTTACACATAATTACAGCTGTAATCACAGCACAGCTGTTGTCTGTGTGATGTGTTGGAGTGTCCCAGTATTCCCATTATTATCTGACAGAGCTCCATTTGCAGTGGAGAGTGTGAAAGCTGAGATGTTCTGCTTAAAGGGAACATTTACATTAAGTTTGTCGGACCAGGGTACAGAATCACTCTGGAACGATGAGGTAAGTGAACAGAGCTGCACATGTTAGACTAGGACTGCCACAAACGATTATTTTGATAGTCGACTA